TTAGTCACGTCTCTCAGGTAACCTTTTTATATTCCATACCAGACGCCTTCCCCAATTCTTGGTAATAGTGAAAGTCGACACTTACAGCATTTATTAGGTGCCTGAAGCTGTCTAGGAACTTGTCATGTATCAACTCATTTATTTTTCATTACAACTATTAATATTTCTTCCTTGAAGATGGGTTTACAAAAAGGTTAGCTGATGATCCTGGATTATACGTTTTCTTCTGAGCAACTCAACATGAAAACAAAGACCTTGGGTTCAGGATACGGAAGAGTAGGCGATGCAAAGAGAAGCTGCACACAGTTTTCACTCCTCTGTGTCCTTCAACAAGTCAGGTAACAACCGCAATCGAGGAACAGGAGATGAGGGGTGGAAGGCACCCACCAACCACCTGTTTGGAGATTGATGGGTGTTTCTCACTATTTCAGCTGTCACTCATTCTCAGCTGGTAGTTCTGATGATCTCAGCTGGCAAAGGTCTTTGCCCCAATCTTCATGAGGAGTAGGAGTCACTTTGAGTCAATATGTGGCAGTCACAGCCCTTCAGGTGGTGGCAGGGATCAACACGCATTACAGATTGGTGTTGAGTCCCATGTTCTAATTAGAAAGGCTAAGCACTCTGCATGGCCCTCACAGTCTATTGGCTTGCAGTTGCCTCAGCCCTATTCTGGTTGGCTACATTCATTTACATAAGCCATTACATCATTACATATGCATTGTTGGCTAGTTATTCCATGTCTTCTCAATGCATTCCAGAACTTTCCTAAACATGTTCATCCCTTTGGAGGATAGCAGGTGTTTGTCTCAAGTTAGGTAGTCATATACTAAGCCTTAATGGGGGATACATGTATGATTTTAATTACTTTTGGAAAAAAATGCTTACCGGGAAAGGAATGCTTTTGGTGGGAAAGCTTGTTTCCCATATTTTTCTTAAAGCACAGCAAATAGATTTTTATTTATTCCTGTCAAAATGTAAGATATGATGTTCTTCAATCATACACAGCTAGTTAGTGACAAAGATAGGATTCATATCCAAGAAGCTTATGGGAAGAATTCACATTCTTAACCATCACATTGCATTTCTGCCTGGAACTAACGCCTTACTCTGACTCCTAAGTTTATAGACTACAGCAGGAGAAAATCCAAGTTATCAAAGGGAAGGCTACAGATGTCTTGGGAGCAGCACTCAGAGTACCCTGGTATGTAAGAATTATAAAACAATCGAAAACTTCAATTGGGGGGGGTTGCTTAGACATATGTAGGGATCTTCAAATTACTGTAATTTTTCTGTCTTATAATGAGTTGCTCTTGTTTTTCTTTGAATAAAACTTTCTCTGATATAATGCAGTTAGCATGATTTCAGCTTTTGGAATTGTTGCACATCTGTAGATTTATAAGAAAAGATTCACTGGGGTTTCTGGATCTTCATTTAAAATAATGTAACACTTTTATAGAGAAATCTGGCCTCTTAACCACCGTGACATAAAAATAACTTCCTCTAAGACCGAGTTGAGGACACGAAACTGCCTTAGTCAAACTATAGTTCTGGCTTGCGCTGGTGGATTTGAAGAGGAGGCATTGTATAGGGCATCAAAGAATAACTGGACTTAGTAGATCTGAACTACTACTAGTGAACTTGGATCTGGGTCAGATCAATGGGAAATATATGAATGGAATAACACTGAAGCCTAATTAAAATATGGAACCTGTGCAAGTTTATGATTGTGTACATTTCAGAATGTCTATGTGACCTCCATAGGGAACAAAAACAAACATCAGAAAATAGCCCAGAAGATGAATGTCTTTTGAGTAGGTAGTATTGTCTTTTGTGTCAACAATATGACTTAAGAGAGTGCTATATTGCTCACATTTTTTTAGTACTTGAATATGCTTTTTGTGAAACATTTTTTTTTTTTTTTTTTTTTTGAGACAGAGCCTCAAGCTGTCCCCCTGGGTAGAGTGCCGTGGCATTACAGCTCACAGCAACCTCCAACTCCTGGGCTCAAGCGAGTCTCCTGCCTCCGCCTCCCAAGTAGCTGGGACCACAGGCGCCCGCCACAACACCCGGCTATTTTTGGTTGCAGCCGTCATTGTTGTTTGGTGGGTCCGGGCTGGGGATTCGAACCCGCCACCTTAGGTGTACGTGGCTGGCGCCTTAGCCGGTTGAGCTATAGGCGCCGAGCCGTGAAACATTTTTGAAAGTAAGTTCCTCAACAGTAATTCTTGGAGATAAAGCTTATAAAGAATCCTGAATTAGCAGATGAGGACACAATTAAACCAATATTTCTTTGCTTAAGAAATGTGCAAAATGATGGATATTTATTCTCAGTTTCTATCTCTTTTATAAAGAAAGTTGTCAATAGTGGCTGTGAGTTCACGTTAGCACTTTATGGGTGCCATGTAAGAGAATTGGAACTGACATTTACAGAATGCCTACAAAACACCTACGTCTTCTGATCCTCACAACCATGCTGAGTGAGTGTAAAACTGACATTCCAGGGCAGGCAGACAGAGCTGAAGCATATCTACCAAGATCAGCCAGCTAGTGATTGTCAGAGATGTGATCCAAGCTTGGGTTTGTTTGACTCCAAGCTTTGCTCTTTCCATTATGGTACAGTACATTCCTCATGGAATTGTGTTTAGCCACAGATTAGATAATGACATCTGCCCTTCATGTTTAGAGCTCAACCTTAGTCCATATAAACCCAAACTTTATAAATACTTAATGTTAAGTACTTTTAGTACCTTCCACTGGAGGAGGAAAAAAGCAATTTCCAATGGATTGTTTTTCCAGACATAGTTTATCAGTAGTTTCAGGTAACTCAGTTTTTTAAAATGTCTATCCAGCAGAAATTTTCTTCTTAGTATTTTTTTTTTTTTTTTTTTACTGATAAATAGACACAATAGATACATTGTCAATAAGGCTGAACATTACTACTTCTTTCCATGATCTATGAGTAAATGGCCATTGGAGGACAAAAAAGATATTCCTACGCCTCCCATGTGGGGAGAAGGCCATTTTAAGGGGGCAGAATTTGAGTTATGAACATCTAACATTTGTTGATTAACACCCACTCCTCAATGCTTCTCTATGCTCCATATTAAGAAGTTCAAATTCAAAACCAGAAGAATGCTGTGGACTGATATTACTTGTACTGATGGATTTCTCCTATCTAGCTCTACCTGTTGTCATTTGTTTACTGTGAATAATGGCACAAATTTATAAGACAGATGGATAATGTTAAGCGTTGTAATCTATAATTCCAGATTCAATGAAAATAAATGCCACTCATGATACTAATTATGTTCCTGATCTTACTGTTTAGTTGGTAATTCCAAATAAACTTGCCTATATATTGACATAGGAGTATTATGTCAATAGTGGCTGTGAGTTCATAGGAATATTAATACCATACCAATTATATTTAATAATGAACACGTGGGAAAAATTTTATCATCTGGTTTAATATTCTGCTTGACTCATCTAAATCTTGTTTCTCTTAGGACAAAGAATTGCTCTGTCCAGTCTACTAGAATAATGCTATTTGTGTATATTTCTATAATGTGTACTTTACTATTTACTATTAAATAGTAGGTATGAAATGAAAAATGAAGATGTCACTGTGATTATCTCATTCATGGATACATCTCTTTTGATGGCAGACCAAAGGGGGGAAAAAAGGAGAGACAGAAAAAGTAGATACAGGCGGGGGTGGGGGGGAGAAAAATATTTGCTAAAAAATGGCACCTGGAGGTGAGTGATGAACAGTAGTATAAACACATAAAATGGTGTTTATTTTACTTTGGGAAAGGGGATGAGAGGCTAAGGTAAAAAAAAAAAACTCAAAAGAAAGGTTCATATTCATAATTAGTTTAATTAAACTTAGGGCAAGAAATAAAAGTACAGAGATAGCTTTCTCTTTCCCATTCTTTGCCATTGTGGTGGGTGCAATTAACTCAGTTTCTGCCATGTCTTCTCATAAAACTTTCAGAATCAAGTGGTTTTGGCCAAGAAAGAAAAGCAAAATGGTCCCATTCCCTAGTGGACTGGAAAGAAAACTGGTAATAAAATCAGGTTCAACTCGGAGACATTGAAGAAGAGCCAAGCTGGGACTATAAGGAATTGCACTTGAGATGGCACACATATTTATGATGTATCAAGGTCATTATCATCTTATCAAGCAGCAAATGTCATCAGTTGGACAGTCAGCCACATTTCATGGGGAAAATGATTTTCCTCTTTGTATGCTCTGCACTAATAAGATGGTTCAATAATAAATGAGCTCTTTTGTTTGAAAAAAGTAGGGATAATAGAAAACAATCATAATTTTAATATTTCAAATTTACAGAGGGGAAACTGAGGCACAGAGTGGTTAAATGGCTAGCTTAAATTTACACAGTAAATGGCAGAGCTGGAATTCCAATCCTGGCAATCTGAGCCACTGTTTAAAAATTGGGGATTAACAGCACACGTAGTGAAGGGAAAAGGAACCAAGTGATACTAGGGGCCAGGGGAGGCCTCATTTAAAAATATTACCAATGCGCTAATGTATTACTGACACTGCGCTTTGTCAGATCTTTTATCCCTCTAACAATTCTGTGAGATAGGTACTGTCAGTTTCATTTTTCAGACACTTGATAGATGATTCACAACACATTCTCTGCTTGGACGGAGTTATACCTTTATAGCTGCTCTGTAGCATTGTAAGGCTACTGAAGAAAACGTGGCAACAGAGCGCAGGAGGCCAAAGGAAACAGACTGAAAGTGAGACATGCAGGAAACGTTTCTCATTTAAGCAGAGGCGGGTCCACCTTTCAAATCTCTCCAGCCGGCCCGCCAAGGCGTCACAAAGCCCGCCCCTTGGAGACAAAGCCACGCCCCCCTCGCGGGCTGTTCCCGGAGCTCCCAATACGTCCCTCTTTCTCTTTGGCCCCGCCTGCCGCGCCTCGCATCATTTCCTGTGCGCTGGGTGGTGATTGGCCTAGGGGTCGGAAGTGGGGGCGGGCGGGGGGCCCGTTGCCGCAGTGACAGTGCTGGGGGAGTCCGAAGATGGCGGCGTCGCGTCGCTCTCAGCATCATCACCACCATCATCAACAACAGCTCCAGCCCGCCCCAGGGGCTTCGGCGCCGCCGCCCCCACCTCCCCCACCACTCAGCCCCGGCCTGGCCCCGGGGACCACCCCAGCCTCCCCCACCGCCGGCGGCCTGGCCCCCTTTGCCTCCCCGCGGCACGGCCTATCACTGCCGGAGGGGGATGGCAGTCGGGATCCGCCCGACAGGCCCCGATCCCCGGACCCGGTTGACAGTACCAGCTGTTGCAATCCCACCAGTACAATCTGTACTGTTGCCGCCGCTACCGTGGTCCCGGCAGTTTCTACTTCATCTGCCGTTGGGGTCGCTCCCAACCCAGCCGGCGGTGGCAGTAATAATTCACCGTCGTCCTCTTCTTCCCCGACTTCTTCATCATCTTCCTCTCCATCCTCCCCTGGATCAAGCTTGGCGGAGAGCCCCGAGGCGGCCGGAGTTAGCGCCACAACATTGGGGTCTGGAACAGCTGGACCTGGGACAGGGGTCCCGGCAGTGAGTGGGGCCCTACGGGAACTGCTGGAGGCCTGTCGAAATGGGGACGTGTCCCGGGTAAAGAGGTTGGTGGACGCGGCAAACGTAAATGCAAAGGACATGGCCGGCCGGAAGTCTTCTCCTTTGCACTTCGCTGCAGGTCAGAGACTTTTGTTTTGAATTGTTTATTAAGCTTTTAAGCGTTTGGGGGTGAGGGCAGGGGTCCGGCCAGGAAAAGTAATCAGGCTCTTGAGATGGAGCAAAGTGGGGGCGTGGTTATGGTTCTTCAGCTCCAAAAGACCCAGAGGCTCCTTTCTTTTGATTTTGCCTGGGTGATGGGGGCGTGGTTGGGGGGGGAACATGTGAATTTGAGGATCCTTCTTTACTTTTTAGTGCTTGCACAGCAATACTGTGCTTATTCCAAAACTCCTTGAAGTTAGGACTCTCTGGGGATGGATATACTTAAACTTTTCCAGTTATGCATGTAAAGGAATAAAGGTAGATTTAAGTAGCTTTAGAGTAGTTTTGTCCTCTGTGTTCTAGTTTGTTTTCATAAGGGCAATTCCATTGAGGACAGTCCGGAACAAAAAGTGTTTAATGTAACTCAACAAGTGCTTAAGGATCTATTATACAGTCGTACTAACTCAATGAAAGACAAAAATGAATTTTTTGAAAATTTTCCTTGTTTAAAAAAGCTTATAGTCTAGTTGAGGAGACCAGAATATGCCCATATGAAACAACTGAAGAAGAATGTTTGGATGCCTTTTGTGATGACGGAAAAAATAAATAGACTTTGATGTTATGGACACTGTTACTTGTTGTCTAAGGGACAGCTTACCTTTTCTCAGTTGCCTGTTTTTGCCTGGGCAAAACTCACTAAACTTGTTGAGGATTTGATGAGAAGTATCTGGCACATAGTTCTCCCCTCAAAAGTGTGCCTTCCTAAACTCTAGACCACAACTTTGCATTTTTGTCTGTCCCTCCTTTTTTTTCTCTTTGCAAAAAAGTAGTTGACCGTTTGCTTTTAAAAACACGTAATATATATTTATAAAATCCAGAGAAATGTACGACAAGAGCAAAGGATTGTAATCTCACTGCCTGGATACCTGTTATGGATATTATTGATATTTTAAAATAAAGGTGATAATGTTATATAGGTTAGAAACATTGCATTAGAAATACATATGCTATATATGTATATACACACATTATAAAATTCAAGTAGGACAGAAAAATACAAGGTGATAGAGCACCACACCTGCACAAACATCAAAGATCAGACGCTGAAAGTAACCTCTGTTAAGTTTCTTGCTACATTTGTTTTGTTTTGTTTAGCAGGCCTGGGCCTAGTTCAAACCCACCAGCCCCCGAGCATGTGGCCAGCACCCTAACCACTGAGCTATGGGCACCCAGCCATGCTACATTTCTAATACATATCACTGCTTCACTTTGTTCTGTTAGCAGTAAAACATATGTTAACTTGCTGTATTATTTAATTTCTTTTTACCACAACTTGGAAGATACTGTTATCCTTATTTTACAGATGACAGAGTGAGGCACATATTGTTTAAATAAGTCCAAAGTCAGGAGATGGTGGAAACTGGGTTTGAATTCAGGCAGTTTGATATTTGAACTTGTGAAATCAAGCTTATGCTGTCATAACCTGTGTCTGGGTTAAGGTCACTTTTGATATCTGTGAGTTACTACAGTGCAGAGTTTCTAATTTTTGCAGTGTTTTGGGAGAAGCAGTAATCAGGGGCTTATATGCAAAAGAAGAGCTTTCACATATTTTTTTTTGCAGCCCATACTTACAAGTACATTTTACATTGTCACACACAAGGTCACACACAAACAAAACTTTCAGGAAACGGTACTTTCCCTTACGACATGTGTTGTACTCTGATATTTGATATCATTTCATTACATTTTGAGCAGTTGCTTTTTGTGATGACTTAATGAATCATGGCCAGTATATGAGAAAATACTTGGATCATTCTTAGGTCACTGGATCCACTTTTGATACACAGACTATTGGGAATATAGAAAATTAAATCATAAACAGGCTTTCATCTAACCAGATATTTATTTGCTCAAGGGTCTTGCTTGTGAAATGGCAATTCTTTTTGTTTAGGCCAAACGAAAGATCTAAGGCTGATTTTATAAAGCCACTGAGGTTGTTTTGAGTTTACATACTTTATTCCAAATTTGACTATTTTAACAAATTGTTTCACCGATCTCGTCATTTTCTCATTTTCATAAGTAATCACTAAGAAATGGTAATTAGTTGTATGTATTTGTGTATTAATGTACTTATTTAGGATCAGTCACACAGAAAATGATGCATGTCTCCCAAGTCACTTATTTTCTATTTGCCACAATAGTTACTTTTTATTATGTCAGAGTTTTATGTATAGCCAGATAAACTAGAATACAAACAGTAAGACACTCCTGTAATTAGGTTGTAGTTATGAGAACCTAACCTTGAACTATCTTTTTTCGATAAAAAAATTTTTTAAACTCAGTTGTAGAATACAGGCAAAACAATACTAAAACTTTCCATGATATGAAAACCTCATAACTGAAGTCAGCTTACCAAACTTGCATGTTTGGGCGCATAACGTTAAGTTTGTTAAGTATTGTCTTCTCCATCATGTATGGGCTGAGTAATTAAAATAATCAGTTGACTACGTATTTTGGTAGTCATAGAATAGCTGTGTTAAAGATAAGAAATTGGTACAATGCCTTGGGTAGAAAAGTTTAAAAATTATAGTTTGTATTTGTTCTACAAATCTTTTAGTACTTAATAGGTGTGCTGTTAACAACACAGGCACAATTGTGGAGTGGCAGAGAGTGGAGCTTGCAGTCTAGTGGGGAACCCTGAGCAACAACAACAAAACCCTGCAGAGCAGTTAACCTAGAATGAGAGGAAAAGTACACTAAACCATCTTGCAGAGTACGCCCTGGGGGCTCTTATCCTGGTTTTGGAGCAGTTCAGGAAGTTTTTCTAGATAAAGAGATTTTTTAAAGCAGGAATTTAAAGGGTGCGTCCAAGCTAGCCAAGCGAAGTTTGGAAAGGAAAATGTTAACTAATGCCTTTATTTCTATTTTAAAAAGAGTTTACAGTTCTCTAGAATGAAATGAAAGCACTTTTGAGGATCTCAGAAGTGGTATGAAACCATATTTAAATCCTTATGACTTTATTTATATTACCGTAAGTGTAATCATATTCTTTTCATCAGTAGAATTAAGAATTCTTTCTGTCCTGTCTTGGGAGTATGATAATTATTTGTTTAAAAGTGATTTAGAGACTGCATTAATAATGGAATTGTCCTAGTCTTAATTAGAACAAAATCTTTAGTTTCTCATGTTGATATAGGTTCTTAAAATACTATTTTTAATGCCTTTTCAAGATGGCTATCTAAAAATGGTCCTGTCTTTTATTGTTTCCTAAAATTTATATGAGGCTTCTCTTTTACAGATGAGATTTTTGTCTGTAGTTTTCTGTTGTTCAAAGTAAGGCAGTCAAAGAGCTTTACAAATAGTACCAATTTAGGGTGATATTATCTCTTTATTTCAGTTCATAGTAGTGACATATTTTTACTAAAGGATCCGTGCATTCTAATGAGGTTTCTTTTTATAGAAAAGTTCAAATGAGGTCTTTTTTTTTTTTAAAAGCTTTAACGAAGCATTAAATTCTGAGATTTTACAGTATTTACTTTAAATTGAAGAAAAAAAATTTTTTTTTTGGACACAGAGTCTCTAGCTCTCACCCTGGGTAGAGTGCCGGGGTGTTATAGCTCACGGCAACCTCTAACTCAGGCTCAAGTGATACTCTTGCCTCAGTTTTTCTATTTTTAGTAGAGACGGGGGTCTTGCTTTTGCTCAGGCTGATCTCGAACTCGTCAGCTCAAGCGGTCCACCTGCCTTGGCTTCAGAGAGGGCTGGGATTACAGGCATGAGCCACTGCCTGGCCTAAATTGAAGAAATTTTGAAATAGGCTCCCTGGCTTTTAATTAACATATGATTTGGATTATGATGTGTTAAATAAGGTGTTTTAGTATCGACCCTAGCAAAATAAGGATGCCAGTGTTGTAATTTTTTTGGATATTTGATTTGGATGGTATCTACTACAACATGCTCATTCCTGACTTTTCTCCTGATCTTTCGGCATGACGATGCTTGTCTTTTTTTCCCCTCCTCTCACCACTGTACAAATGGAGTTCTTAGTAAAAGCTGCCATGTCCTCTAATCTGTTGTCTGTGAGTGGGTGGGAAAATGCTTCAGTCCCAGAGTGGGAATCTTCCGGCACTTTTCATTGTCTGGTAATGACAAGATCCTTAATTGTACTTGTAAGTAAATGCGCTGTCTCGAGGTTTAAGAAGGGCCTAATTTGGTAAAAGAAGAAAAGAACTATAGTATTCTCATAAATATCTTCCCAGACTTCAAATTGTTGATTGCAAACTGGGTTATGTTTTATTTAATGTTTTTAAATACCTGACATTTTCCTTAAGGTACATCTTTAAAGAAAGTTCACATAGAATTTTTAGTTAAGAGGCAAAAGTTGAGCCAGATGCGGTGACTCATGCCTGTAATTCTAGCACTTTGGGAGGCCAAGGTAGCAGGAGGATCCCTTGAGGCCAGGAGTTTGAGACCAGCCTGAGCAAAAACTAGACCCCATCTCTACCTTAAAAAAAAAATGTGGAAAGTGTTTATCTTTTCTTTTGCCTAAATATCATTCTTTGGAACCAAATTATTTAAAGATCAAATTAGCTGTTTGTAAGATAATATGTAAATGAATCTCTAACAGCAAAATATTGATAACGAGTCAACTGTTCAACAGTAGAGGCCTCCTTTCATAAATTTTGATGTTGTACAATTTCTATTCCATACCTGTCTTCATGTATAGTATATTCTTCTATCCGTCAGTTTATCTTTTTTTAATGCATGTCAATGTAAATTGTAGGCATCTGTACAGCTCCCCTAGATAATATACATGCCATTATCCAGACAAGTTTTGTATTTGTTTAAAGTTGTGTTTTTTAATACAAAATCTGTACCGATCTTATATACATTACTGACAAAATGCAAACACCTTTGTAACTTAAGTGGTGACTTACCTTATAAAATGTCATAACCGCAGAAAGTTCCCTCGTGTCCCTT